GTGTTATATGCTGTTGGGAATAGTATAGAACAGTGTGTTTGAGACTGCCTTCAAAAACTCTTCTGAAATTTCAGCTGGTACAAATTACTCAAGTAAGACTGCTGATTGGGGGCAGTTGCAGATAGCGTATGATTCCCTTCACTAGCTGCTAGTCTGTTTCCAGGCACATTCAAAGCACTGTTTATGACATCTAAAGTCTTAGGACTATACTACCTGAAAGGCCATCTGCTCCCATATAAGCCTGCCTGACTTTTAAGATCTTCAGGAAAGGCCCTTCTCTTGGTAACAGTGCTGTCAGAAGCATGTTTGGTCATGACATGAGAAGACTTTTTCTGTTGCCACTCCCAGAAGGAAGGTATCTAGATTTACTTGCTCTCCACTGTCTCTCCAGCAACAGGCAAAAGAATGTTTTATTCACAGAGGCTTGTGAGTGACTGTTGCATCGAGTGTTGTTCTTACTTTGTTATCGCTGTGTCTCTGTGGCATTTCAGTGCATTGTTTTAATCAAGTTTTATCAATGATTTCAAACCACCTTAACAGTTTTTCATGGTAGAAAGGCTTTGTGCAAATCAAATGGAGCAAATGAGCCTCATGTCTGGAGGAAGAAGGTCTGAAGAAGGGACTTCTACTTACACGCACTGGAATGCAAGTTTAAAAGCCTGCATGTGGGGATCACTGCTTTGACCAGATGTAGTCTTCTGCTCTCATTGATGTGGATTTGAGTAGAAGCCTTCATACCTTTGCTTCAACATAGCAAGGATGGGGCCACAGCAGAAAGGGACATTGGGATGGAACTAGTGAGCACGCCCACACTGCTCTTCACCATAAGCTAATAAATGATTTACCTTACACTGTCCACATCTGACTTTACACAGAACTTCCTGCATCTAGTAAGCGTAACAAAACCCCAGCTAAGCCATCCTGCTGAGTTGATGATAGACTATCAGCACTATTGTGCTGTATTTGTAAGGTACTCTGAATACTTCAAAAATGCATTTGACTGTGGAAATGATTCATCCAGCTCCAGGTTTGATTGGTTTTGTGATTATCTATAAGATTCAAAATCATACATCCTTCACTATTTGCCAATTTAATCCTCAGCATTTCAGGATGCTCTTATTTTGACAATTCTTTGTGTTTGCAGGATTGAGAACCATTTGGAAAGACAACTAAAGTGCTAGGGATGTTGTGTTCCATTTTTCTTTTTGTAGAATCTTCTGTACTTTACAGGGTATTTGTGATCTTAAATTTGGCCACTGTAGCTGAATGAAAAAGTTTCTCTTCTATGATTATGAAATGGCATCAGCTAAGTTCAAATTTAATAAATTGAATTAATTATGTATGATTGGACCTACAGTTCATTTTATGTAGTGCAATCCTATACTATCATTCTTATGGCAAAATGGCAAAATCATTCTTACCATATCTTAACTTAATTCTCTAGAGAGAGTTATTAGTCAATACAATTGCACAATTTAAGAGCCCTGAGTTTTGAATTGTATACAGTAAGAGCCATATGGAGCACTTTGTAAGCAATATTTAAAGGCAGCACACTTAAAACTTTGTACAAAATTCTTTTTTGGATAAAGGAATAGGTACAACAAGAATTTTATTGTTATGCAAACTTAATACTGAAGCTTTAAACCACTATTGAATTTAATGTATGCATTTAAAATGATCAGTTGAAACAGTTCAAAGAGAGTCTCTTATGACACTGTTTGCAGATTGCTCAACTTTCATGTCATTAGCCTGTATTTTTATTTGAACAAGTAACACTTCAAAGAAATTCTGGCATTATTGGGCACTTCATTGAATTGATAAGCATAGTGGTGTGCATATTGCAACATGTTGATTAAACAGTAAGTTTGTTTTGGAACCTAAAGGTTCCTAAACTGGATCTGAAGGTCCAATATTTCAAAAATTTAAATAACTCCTTGTTTGCTTATTTATTTCATTAGATTTATATCCTGCTTCCTATAACAAACTCAAAACAGCTTACATAATTTTCTTCCACCAGCTCCAAATCTTATCCCCACAGAAGCAACACAGTGAGAGAGACTGGGCTGAGAGTCTGTGACTGGCCCAAAGTCACCCAGATGGCTCCATGGCTGAGTGAGAACTAGAACCCAGATCATTTGAGTCCCAGTCCCATTCTCTTAGCCACTGCACCACACTGGGTCTCTGTTATTTGCCAATTTCTGCATCATCAATATTTTTCTTATGTAATGCAAGTAGTGTGAATGTATAACTATGGCAGAATGAACTTTAATGAACTAAATAAGCTGAAGCAGAAGCCCAACATATTTTAACTTTTGATAGTTAAGTTGTCAAAAAACAACCAAGTTGCTTATCACAGAATTTCTTTATGGATTTTGAAAGATACTGAAAGGGATTCAATGAGTCATCAGGTACAATGAGGCATTCTGTAATTGTAGCAAATTGTTGGGTAATTAATGGATCTATGATTTTCCATAGCACATGCTAAATAATCTGTAGTCTCCAGGTTCTAATATTATAAAACAAATTATGCACTTTGATTATATAGAGTGGCAATGCCACACATTTTGGCAGATCCTTGCTGTATTACATATGAACCATATCAGTATTCTATGGATTTAACCTGATGACTTGCTGGACCATTTCTAGCCATTTGGTTTATTCTAGATTTAAACTTTCATACTTAAACATGTATGTGATTCTTTTGCAGGATGATCTTACAAAAGGAAGGCCCTCGATCACTGTTCCGGGGACTAGGTCCTAATTTGGTAGGCGTGGCTCCATCCAGGTAAAATGGAAAAAAGTCACCTTAGTTAGGACATGTGCAGAGTTCTCTAAAGGAGTAATCCTATTTTATAATGTCACTGCCCCCACCACGCAATTCACCCTTTTCTTTTTCTCTAAGAAACTTCTTTGCATTTATAAACAGAAATTAAGCAGTGACTTTTGCAGAAATTGTACATACATAAGACTATGCCTGCTTGCCGTCTTGCTTTCTCACTCAATATACTTCTTACCAAGTAGGTATATTTAATCCATATTGTGAGCCTGTTGTGCCCTCCTATCAGGTGAAGAAACATTACATTAGGAAGGCTAGGCTATGAAAAGCTAGTGACTTCGCAGGTGCTGTATTTCCTGGATTCTTTTCAACTTTACAGTTGAAACTGTTTAGTAAGAAGTGACATACATCCAGGAAAAAAGGATTAAAATTGGTAATATAGAAGGCAGTGACTTCCTCGAAGTGTCCCATATCCCATACTGTGGAATAAATTCATAAAAGCCTAGAGATGAGCTGAAGAATGAACACGTGTGTGAGAGAGAGTTATTCTGTAAAGGATAATTAATGTGTGGAATGAACTATGAAAAAGAAGCATTAGATGGTAAAAGTGGAAACATGCCATAAAACAGCTGTACTCTTGATGAGTCATTTGGTTGCAATGCCTGGTTTTGGATAAACACAGGGCATGCTATATTCTGTTATTCACTTGAATGAACACCAGCCACCTTTTGTACAAAATAAAGACTTGATTCATCCTGGTAGATCCAACTTGCAGCTTAGCCACGTGGTTCTTGCAAAGCCATTAGATGCCAAGGGTTGATTCTGGCATGCTATTTTTCTTCTAGATAGTTTTCTGCACTGTGTACAGCACCTTGCTATTTCAGTACTATCTGCCATTATGGATATTACTCCGTTCAAAGTTCTCATTACAGTGTGTTTCTCATGTTTGTACTGTCATAAACTATTACCTAGAATGTTATAAATGCTTGGTAAGCAGAAAATGACTTGGTGTTTTGTAAATGAAAATGTAGGGCATTCATTTATTAAATAATTTAAATGAACTAATGAATAAATGCAATATTAGTCCCCTGCTCAGTAATAGTGAGCTAATGCTGCATTTTTAAGCATTTGATCTCCTTCAAAGCTTGCCACTCAAACAATAGTGCATTTATTTTGCTTATCCTTTCTCCATTTCAAAACTATTTACACAGTCCTAAGTGCAATCTTTTTGTTACATTTGGATTGTATGATGTGCTCCAAAAAGTGTCTGTTTCTCTTCATCTTTCCTTCTGTCAGTACAATGCTGCTGTGGACTTTCCCCCAGTTTTCATGCTAGAGTTGTCTATTTGCGTATATGTTCTCTGGCTTTTGAATAAATACATCACACTTTTTTTCCAGTCATCAACCATGGGCAAATGCTTTTGTGTTTCATTTCAACATTTACTAAGTAGCTTTAACAGCATCTGTCTGTTTGAACAAGCTGTAAGGAAGCTTGTTTCATAACATGTGTAGCATACACCACTGATTTTGCTAATTATATCACGTAAAACAACTACTTTATCACCTCCTTGTGAAAGGCCACATGTTTGTGTAAAGCTATTAACATTAACTTAATGTTCTGTTTCATGAAGACTTAAATGCTGTTCATATCATAACCCCTGCTGAGTGCATACGACTATTTTTTGTTAAAACTACCATCAAAAGTTAATACAGATTTAATTAAATTTTACATCATTACTGAATTAAACCTTGGCTTGTTCTTAACTACTATTTTTATCAACTTTGAAGATCTGTTTCAGCAAAATAGAACAAAAAGTGGTTAATATATATCATTACAATATAAAAACTTGTAGGAAATTCTCTCCTGCCCCCTTGTGGCAAAATTGTTGATAAGAATTTATTATGTTTTTCAATAATGCTGTAGACTAGAGGATTTCATCTGCTTTAAAGATTTGAAACTATGTAAGTTTAGTTCAGTATTAGATACCTAATAGCTGAGTATGAGAATGAAACAGCACTGCTGTGTTAGGCTGGGAGCCAAAGATCTCTGTCAGGTATGTCTCTGAATGCTTAGACATTCTCTGTGTTAGTTTTGTCTTTCTGTCCTCCCTCACAACAGTGATTCCCAGTGCCATATTTTATGCAGCTTTCCACAGTTTTACAAGTGTTCTGACATGACATTTACAAGATGCTAGATAACTTAACTGTTACAGCGGTGCAGAACTCATCTACCATGTAACTGGGAGTCAGTCCATGACTATCTAATCACTTACCTGATCTCATGTAACTTCATCAAAACAAAATAAGAACAATTGTACAGATTGGTAGGAACTTTGAACATCCAAGTTTCTGCATTGGTTGTGTTCCCTAACAGTGTGTATAAGTTTATTGTGCTAGCTAAAGTAGACTGTTGGGTGATCTCAGAGTTACAGCTTTTACACGGGTTCAGTTTACAGAGCTGATACAAAATATTTTCAAGATGGGTAGGCTACTTGTAACTTTCCCAGTGTTTTCACCTGCAACTCTTATGATCCCTTTCATTGGCTGTGCGCAGTAGAGTTGATAGGGATTGCAGACCCAAACAAGCCTGCCCATGCTTTAATATCTGAGACAGAATTTCCACAGCATTTCATATGTAATTCCTGTCATGCTATAGAGAAGCTGCAGCAGCTAAATACTGTCCTGCTTTGGTGCTCTTGAAGCCTTCAGGAAGTAGATCAGCTGCAACAGCTTTTCCCATTTACAGTTGCTTCCATCAGAACACAGCCATTTTGCAGGTCTGAGTGAAGGGGAGAAAAAATAGGTAAATGAAGCAGCCTGGCAATAGGGTTACTGCTCATCAGTATGCATGATTACTCATTACCACTCTTATCAGCAGGTTGTAGTGTTTATATAATGGTAGTGGCTCCTTTAAGAGGAGCCGGAAGCTTACCAAAGGTGGTGAGAGAGAGGATACTGTGGGATCTTTAGCTAGAACATTCAGGTGTTTTTGTCTGAATGTATCTACATGCCTTTCTTGGGTCTCTTTTTATATGACAGCTATAAATAAATAGTACTTAAAAAGGAAAACAGTCTATTTTCTTTGAGTGATGTTCTGTACTGAAGTATAACTATTGTAGTTACTTGAATATTTATTTATTTATTTATTAATTAAAACATTTTTATGCCGCCCCATTTGCCGAAGCCTCGGGGCAGCTTACAACAATAAGTTAAAAAATAATTATAACATTAAATTAAAAAAATATAAACATTAAGTTAAAAATACAAAAATACCAATATAAAATAAGCCACCCTGGCCAGATAAAATCCAGTAATATTAACAATTAAAATGCCGCTTAAATAAAAAGGTCTTCGCCTGGCGCCGAAAAGCAAATAACAACGGCGCCAGGCGGACCTCTCTGGGGAGCGCATTCCATAGATTGGGCACCACCGCAGAGAAAGCCCTCCTCCGAGTATCCACCCTCCTGATTTCTTTCACGGAGGGTTCCCGGAGAAGGGCCTCTCCCGCAGATCTTAAGGGGCAGGCGGGCATATATGGATGTAAGCGCTCCTTCAGGTAATAACTCCTTCAAAATAGCTGCAATTGAACTTTGTTTTGGTTAATTATATTAACTTGTTTGTTTTTAGGGCAATATATTTTGCGGCTTACTCCAATTGCAAGGAAATGCTGAATAATATTTTTGAGCCAGAGTCTACCCAAGTGCACATGACTTCTGCTGGAGTGGCAGGTAAGGCTCTCTACCTTTCTGTTTTAATTACCTGCAAGACTCTTGGTGATTCAGTGGCTATGGTAAATGGAAAATTCTAAAAGTGAGATAATAGGTGGTTCAGAGTATAATTCCTAAAAGTAAGGGAATAGGTAGTTCAGAGTTCACAGTATCTCTTCAGACAATCTTCTGGACTGAAATGCTATGCATGAAAGTCTTTTGCTTCAGAATGAGTACACAGAACAGCTATTTATGGAGGTTTATGTAATGAGCAAAGTGGATAAGGATTCTTGCTTTTATCTGTGTTCTCCATAATTCTAGGCAAGCCAAGTAGACTTAATTTTTAGTTTGTTAAGCAAACTTTATGTGCAATAAAGTATTATATACTATTTTTTTCCTTTGCCCCTTACTGTGTTTTGCAAACTGCACTCAGGCTTTTCTGGAATATGCCAGCAGGTTTTAATAGTGTTCTCCTGTCCATACACGTGCTGGAAGTATTTGATCTTGCTGTGGTATTAGGTAAACCAACTCTGTTGGTTTCTACTTATAACTAAAATAAATTTACTTTTCCTTTTTTGGAGGAGGAAAATAAGTATGTTGGCAGATGGAAGAGATAAATGTAATCCAACCATAGTCTATCCATGTTTACTCAGAAGTCCTACTAAGTTCACTGGGTTTTACTAGAAAATAATTGTACATGGGCTTAAGTTAAGTGTAGAGAATCTGTGTCTGCGTAGATGTTGTGTCTGCGTAGATGTTGAACAACAGTTCCCCTTATTCCTGACAATGGGAAGATGTGACTTGAAGCTCAGTAACACCTGGAGAACCACAGATTCCCCCAGCCTTGGTCTACAATATCTGGCTACAGTGCTGTACACCCTGTTGAACTTAGTGAGATGTACTTCTAGTACACATGTATACTAGCATGCTGCTTTTCTGAACAGAATTTTCAGTTTCTGGTTTAAACATAGTTCTTTTTTGTAGAATTCTTCTGACAATAATAGATTTTTTATGTTTTGAAGACTTCTTAATTTGTGTTTTTCAGGCAAAAATAGGTAAGTAGGGGCAGGATAGCACTTAATAGGCTGATGATTTTGGTGGTTGGTATTATAGTTTCCACTGTGAATAATGACTAAACATGAAATGCCCCCATTAGCCAACTCAGTATCAAAATAATTCTGATAAAAAGCTAAAATAACAAAATAATTCAGCTATACTTTTTTCACCTAAGTTGGCAATTACAAATGCTTGAAAAAATATTAGATTTGGCAATTGAATTGAGAAACAACTCTGTCCAGCAGTTTACAATTGCCTGACATACTTAGAATTGTGGTTCTAATTTGAGAAAATAACATTTTAAATTTAAAGTTGCTGTATCTTTTAAACTCAATTGAAGGAATTCACGGAGAGCGGAGTGGTGGGAGGGACATAGCAGTGCAATGGGTTTCATTTAAAACTGCATCTTGATCATAAGTTGTTTCAGATACTTTGTTGATATAAATGGCTATTTTGTTACCTGTGTTCTTTTCCCCCCAGAAGCTTAAAGAAATATAATTTCTCTTGACAAAGAGCAGAGCAGAAGATATGAAAATGGATTAGTAAATGGGTTTTTAAATATAAGATGTTTTTCTTATTATGCAGTACACACTATGCAATAATGCTTGTTCAGAATTAGTTTAAAGGCAGCTTACCTATTTTTCTGTAATGCATCATCTTTGTTTGGTCATGCATCTTAGCCCAATCAAATAAAAACAACAACAATGTTCATATCTACAATCAAGGCTCAGTTTGCCTGTTCAGCAGTTATTTCTATATTGTGATTGGGATTTCTGTTACTTGAATCCCATGTTTTCAAAAAGCAAAATGAGTTCCTTTAGCCACTTAGATTCTTTTGGTTGTCACATGAGACATGTATACATTTCATTTCACTTTTAAAATGGAATCTATCTTTTGTGTGTCTGTGGCTTAATTCTGTGAAATTATCCTGCTCAGGTGCTCGTGCAATACTGACGGGCATTAACCTTCAGCTTTGCAGTTATGCATCTAAACCACATGGTTGATGAAAAGGGTGTCCCATGCAGATTGGCTCTGAAGGTAGCTATTTTTCCTTGAACTAGCATAGCTGTAGGTTGCTAAAGATCCCATAGACTCTTTTAAATCTGCTTAATCTGCCTAAAATACTGATATATATTGTTGCTTGTGGAGCAATACAGCTAATACAAGAGGCCATTAACATAGCTTGTGGAAAAAATGCTAACCTTGTCATTTTTGTGATTGCTTTTTAAGACTAAATGCTTACATTGACTATATAAAATTAAGCTATTAACAATTCTGGGTCCGTTTTGGCTTGAAATCCAAAGTAACTTAAACAGTTAAAAATGCAGTGAATTCTTAGGAAGAAGGCTAGGAGAATAATTTTTGAGTAAGGTTTGCAAAGCATTTAGTTTCCCTTTTTTGTGTGGCTTATGTAGCCTTACTTAAAATTTCATGTTAACTAATTGTGTTAGTTACTGCCATAACTGTGAAAAAGCTGCACTCGATTTATGGGCTTTAAAAAAAACTTTAAAATTATTATTAAAACAACAAAATCTCAAAGACTGAAATATTTAATATTGATATCATTCTGTACTCGGTCTGTCTTGAAAGATGCATATTGCCAAACATTTTTTTCACAACCCTTTCTGGATTCCCTTCTACATTCCAAGCTTTGGGAGAGTGTTGAGTAGATCAGTGTGCAGTAGCTCATAGGTGTCAACAGCACTGCATACCCAGCCTCCAATTTTTGTGTAGATGAGGCCATTGTAACCTGCCTTCTGTGCATAGGAAACACAAACTGGATCATGACTTGGATACCTGTTCTAGGGCATGATTCAAAATTATGAGTCTATAAAGTACCGTAACTTAAGCTTTACTAATTCATTTGATGTAAATAGTAAGACTGAACTAAAGCTTCAGGTTTTAAACAATTACTATAAAGAAATGTTGGGTGTCTTATTTTCTGCAATGAGTGACAAGGAAATCAGCTGACCCCTCCTTATAAATGTTCAAATGTCTCCTTTGCACAATAGCCAATTCTATCCGTCTCCCTAGTTCAAACTCCTGTATGCACTGTGGCGTGCATGCAGAACTACCCTATTCAGTTGAGTGGAACATGAGGTTTGAATGCAGGAAAGGTGAACACTCAGATCAGTTCTCTGCTGTAGAGCCAGTCTTTGAAGCCTTCAGAGTGTCATTTCTTTTGAAAACAAACTAGATTGGATTAAAGACCTGTGATTCTTTCCTGTATGGTGTTGGTTATTGTTATTACGATTATTGTGATGTTACATTTATACCCTGCTTTTCTTCCTCTTGCAAGGAACTCAAAAGTACCTTACAAGGTTCTCCTCTCCATTTTATCCTTAAAGCATCAACCCTGTGAGGTGGGTTGGGCTGAAAGCCTGTGAACGGTTGGAAAGGAGTGTTACCCCTCAAACAATTGGCCAGTATTGACGAAACCTTATAGCAAAGATAACTGTGACATCTAATATACTCCAAACATTAATTTTTGCTGATTTGAATGTGACCCCTTCTGAAATAAATGCCAGTAAATCAATCTATTCATTGAATAAAATAGGATGTTCCATTTCATTGTTTCATTCTTGCTTAAGGCCCTGTGTGTTGTATTATTCACTGGTAATAGATATGTAAACATGGATTGTGGCATGGTATCAATATTCAGTCTAAATATTTTCAGTAACAAAGGGGATTTGGCAGCAGGGACAAACCTAGGCTTTAACTGATGTTTCACTTGCACATATTGCACTTCAGCCAAACTTTTCTTGCTAAACTTAAATCTGGGTTTCCTCATAGTTAATTCTATGTGAAAAAATAAACAGTACTTAATGTACAACTGTGCGCTGTTCCTCTCTTACTGCCATAACTGTAGGAGGCATTCTAGCTTTTTAATATATTAAGAACCCAATCAATTTGGACAAGGGATATAAGCATGAAGTCTCTGAATCTGAACAGGGAAAAAGTTAGACAGAAAAGAACAAAATTTAGTAGAAGTCTGCAAACCCAATGACATAAAAAGAGATCAGAGAATCCAGATTCACTATCTTTAATTAGTTGCATCCTTTTCAAGATATTTGTGGTAGAATGCAACTCCATATGAATTTATGAAACAAAGCAACAAGTTTTTGAAAATATTTGTCAGGTATAAATAGAAATAAATCATTGGCAAGACAAGGTATTGCATTCATTTTAAAAGTAATTTACCTTCTATCATAAACTCAACTTTGAACTCTCTGTAGTCTCTGGTAGCCCTGTAGCCTTCTCATCTAGTCATAGACTCAGTATATATTTTGTGGAGTATCAACATACTCCTTGACTCAGTTAAACATCTGTATGGAGTGCATTCTATTAAATTATAATGAGTTCTGTATTCCATTATATTTCTCCATTTTCAATAAAAGAAGAAAAGTGCCTAATTGAATTGTATGACTTAGCATTTTATCTGTTTTCCTCTTTCATCTTTTTATGCTTCTGAAAAGGTACAACATTAGATTGATTGTAGTTAAATGCATAAAAGACAAGATGTTCAGTTCAAGAAGAATCTCAAATTTTAAATTAAATTTGTTTAAAAATGATATGAAGTCTTGGTTTTCTGCCCAGTGTGACAAGGTTAGCATTTTTATTTTTATTTAAATCCAGACCAACACTTTGGGCTTATTTAACAAGGATAGGTAAGTATTTTACATGCTACATAATGGTTAAACTGCTGCAGATGGCAGAAATTTCAGTACTCAATGCATTTTGCAAAACCATTTTTGAAATGCCTGTGGCCTATACTTTTTTTCCTTTTTAACGTTCTAAACTTTTAAAAGTTAGATCTCACCCTTTACTAATTCCGAAATCCTTCCATTGGGATTCAATTTTGTCACATGTATCTGATGAGGTCACTGCTTGTTGTTATGATACAGAAAAGCCTGTGTCTATTTTAGGCATTTACTGTACATTTCTCCCGTGAAAAGAGTGAGATCGTGTCATCTCATGCTCCCCATCCGCAGGTCACTTCCTGCAGAAATGTGGACTAACTTAAACCTCGTGAGTACTGAACTGAGCGTCTCTTGCAGCCTCTGTAAGAACCACACTTTGCGTTTGTAACCACTCTAAAACAAACAACGTAAGGGGAATCTTTATATCTAAATTCCAATGGTATACTTTGTTCTAAAACATCACTGAGCTGTTCCTTGCAGTGTAGTTTGGAGAAAGATGGAAAACCTTTGACTGATCACTGCTGATATTTAGCCAAGCTGATAAAATTAGATCACTTGATGATAATATGCAGAATTTCTGTGTTGCTTTATTTAGGTGAAGTAGTTCAGAACTGCACTTAATGCTGTTGCCACAGTCCTTTCTTTGCCTTTTCAATATTCATTGGCATTACATTAATTTATCAGTTCCATTATACCTTGCAAACAACATCAATGCAGATACATACCTGGGATCTTAGCTGTTTTATTGTGAGGTCTGTTGTGCCCCAAAAATTTAGGATAAATTTAAATAGCCTTCAGATGTGGGCATTTATTTATTAATTTCATTCTTCTTTGCTGCTCCATAACCCGAGGGTTCTCTGGGCCAGACATGCACTGCAGCCCTGTGTATGTCTACTCAGAAGTAAGTCTCATTGGCTGTGTTTGTAGATAATGATAAGCTTGACTTATTGTTTACGAGCAGTATCTGATTGCTGCCATTTGCATCAGGAGTAGCTAAGCCAACCATGGACCTTCTGTCTTGGGTTTATTTATCCTTTCATGTGAACTGGGAACTGTGGTTTGGCTTGTCTCTGACAATCCAGTTTACAAAATCCTTGATATGAACATACCGATCAAGAACTATAGATGAGAGGTTTGCTTAGCTACTTCTGCTTGCTCTCGGAGCAGCTTGGCCACCTTCATGAGCATACTGATAAATAAGCCTTCCCCAGAACTAAAAGTGTGTATAGCATTTCAACCTCAAATCACCAATTCTGCCTGGGATTTAATATCACATATTCTTTGAACATCAGCTTTTGTTTTGATTACATATATGAAATACATTTAGGTTGCAATCCTGTACACACTTATAACTGTTGCTCTTATTAGAGCTTAATTCTGACTAGACATATGTAGGATTGCAGTGTAAGAGTCTTGAAAACTTCATTAGTGGGAGAATTGTTTTGTTAACTGTTCATAAAGTCACCTCACAGTGATCAGACTAGGTCTGCTGGGATGCAATTCCTTTTGTGTCCTGCATTGCATCCAATATGTCAGGCTACTGCTACACTATATAAATGTCAGAAATGACCTTTTTTCATATCCTTTAAAAGCAGCAGTGAAGTTACTATTCCTATTCTTCCAAGTGCTATCTTGAGGGGCAGGGGGTATGCATGCTTGTGGTTAATGCATATGCCCATCTTGTAGCTAAAAGCCAAAGTTAACTAGGCAGGCCATAATGATTGATTGTAAGAGGAATAAAGGGAGATTGGACATGTAAGGAAGGCTTAGCACAAACTAGGTGCATCCTCATCAAGTTCATCCCTTTTTGTATTAAAATAAAGATTAGTTTCAAAATACATTCCACAGATTAAAAAAAAGTTCTATTTCTTAACAGAATTAACTGCTGCTATTGTCATTAGTTATCCCAGAAGTAGGAAATTCTAGTGGAACAGCTATAGCTTATGATCCTGACCACAAGTCATCAATCTTAGTTCGGGCATAACTCTAAGCCATGGATGGAGGGTTCCTGGTTTCTTTAGCTGGTCATTTTGGCAGGAAAAGCCAAGTAGGAACAAATAAACTACACATACTAGGACATTTGCTTGTTCCCTAACTTTTTATCTAAACTGGACCAACGTGATTATTTTTGCCCTGTCCAAATTTTAAATTTACTTGAGAGGTCCCAGTGAAAACATACAGACTTTTATCATGTTTAATTGAATAGACTCCTTCAGTGAGTATAATAACAAGGAAGGTTTTTCTTTTCGTAGATTACATCTTTGTAATGCCCAATAGCAAATAATTTTCCTGGGTGATTCATAGCATGGCATTATAAAATGGTAAGCTTTCAGAAATTTAAAAGTCTTGAAACAAGTTAAAAATAATTGACAATAAACTCAAGACCTCATAAAACAAATGCCTGGCAGTGTAGCCTGATGCTGGAAAGATGACAGTGCTGGCACATGACAGACCAGTGGGGAGAGCATGCCACAGTTGGGGGGGGGGGGGGGCACAACTGCGAAGATCCCCTTCCTTGTTGCCATTCTCTGAGCTTCCTTGGGAGGAGGTCTCCAGATGCTGATTATAGGGTACAGGTAGGATGATGAACATGAAGCACTTTGATGCAGCAGTTTAAATATTGCAAGTAATTAAAGGATTCCTACTTAATACCATAAAATAAAACCTTACATTTAAAGTGTTGACATTAAGTCTTAAAACAGTTAAGATCCTTTGGCACTTGCGTTCTTGAGTCTTTTAGGCTGCAATCCTATGCACACCCTGGGAATAATCTCCATTAAATCAATGGGACTTATTTCTGAGCAGATACATATAGGATTGTGCTGTAATTTCTTAACTATAATTTTTTCAATGTGAATGCCAGTTTGGATTATCCAGAAGAAAGTTATATGCAGTCAGTGTTTTTGTTTAGTTTATATGCAGGTTTGTTTAGCTCAAATGTTTATGAGAGATGCACTGAACAAGTTCTTGAAGGCTCACTCTACAATTTCAGTTTCTCTACAGGACTTGAAAAGAGGCTTTTCATATCATGCCAGTATAATAAATAGTAACAAACTGAATATCCTGGACCTAGAAATTCCATAGCTGATATTAGTCTTAGAACTAAACAGCTATTGAAAGATGCCCTCCCTTACTGCTTTTCTATTATTTGTGGTTGTGCAGTAGGGGAAGAAAGATTCCTATCCTACCACAAGTGGCAGAGCCAATGGCATTTTTGGCTCTTAGCAACTCTTTAAGGTCTTAATAAGGTTACCTGATCCTTAGCAGTCCATAGGATATATGTAATAATGTTAGTTTAACAACTGATATTTCACTGTTTGAACAAGTATTACAGAGCCCGCTAATGATCCTATTCTTGAATGCTAAGTAGAACTTACAGGTAGAATTAATACAGCATTCTACATAATTATATTGTGTAATTCGGTATGAAAATGTTATGTACAGTAACATGTATCTGAGTGATACAGCATTAAATAGTTATTCAGTTAATGACTTTTTACTCCATACTTTGTATTTCTGGCATTAAGTTAAATCTACATAGAATATTTTATGCTGTTCTGACATAATTTAATTTCATTTGCAACTTGCTTTTATTTGGGATATATTTAAATTCAATTAGCTTAATCTCAAACTTGCTATGGGAAAGGTGTCAAAAATGAATTTGTATAAATATATTGGCATAGATTAAGCGTTAAATATACTTATTCCAAATAACTAAGAATAGGGATGTTGATGTTTTAAATACCCATGAAAAAATTATTGGCTTTGTTAACTTGCAAAAGTAATAATATCAGTAAAGGCCTACCTCTGGTTTTTAACAATTAAGTCAGCTCATGTCAACTTGTATCTTTTGGTACTGTGTGTATTTTAATTTATAGCAAACTATAGCAAAACTAATCTATCTTTTAAAATATTTATTTAGGTTTTACTGCAATTACAACAACCAATCCAATTTGGCTTATAAAGACACGATTACAACTTGATGCAAGGTAAAAAAAAAAAAAAACTTATTTAGAAACAGTGATGTGAGCTGGAAAATTATTCCACTGCTATATTTACCATGGAAAAATTCCTGCACCGTATATGTCTGCTTTTATCCATATGTGTCTGGATAGTGTATCACAGCCAATCATGCTGAATGGGCTAAATATAGGAAATGAACTTCTGTAACTCTTCTAAAGCGGGCATAACAAATGGTAATGCTTAGTTGCCCATGGGGAAATGAGAAATAAATACTGTAGCCTTCCCTATGCACAATGAAGTTGATCCTGGCTGGACTGAGCCAGGCTTAATTGTGTTGTATTTGCCCTCCATTGCTAATATTGTTCAATAACAAATGGGAGGAAAACTGGAATTAAGTCTGTGATTACTGCTTGCTTTCATGCTGGACCAGACCAAGGGTCCTTCTAGTGGTAAAATTCTGTCCACATGGTACCATTCAGTTGTCCGTGGAATCCCACAACGGGACACGAGTGCAGTAGCACCCTCTAGCCCATGTTTTCTGGCCTACGCCCACAGATTCACATCCATCCTTTAGTGAAATGGATTGTTCAACTAGTCATTCTAAATTTTTTGCAACCTGCAGAAGAACTGTTAAACGGTACAAGGAGCAAGTGAAGGGGCTACAGTTACCTCAGCAAAAGACAATTAAACTTTTGATAGCTGTATATTCTTTCAGCTGTAATCATTTTTTATAAAATACAAACAACATAAAGGAATATGTTATTGTCTTTCTATTTTTTTACAGATATTCCAATAAAATAATTTTTACATGAAGCTTTTAATATATTGGGAGTGTAACATTTAAATGATATTGTGTAATTTAATTTCCCCCTAAGGAAATATCTCAGTTCAACTATTTTGTAGCTATATCAGAACTTTTGATATGTTTACACTGCACTTATTACATTTTTAGTTATGTTTACTAAATATGAGGTTTTGTCTTCCTGTTGAGGGAATAAAGATGACTCAGGCATACTAAATCAAATAACATTATTCAGAACACTGGGAAATTTCTGTTCAGGAAATGTAAATGAACTAGTATTTATAGTGTGTTTGGTTTTTAATTATTTGCCATTACTTAATCATTTGGGTGAAATTGGCATAGATTGATTCAATGCAGAAATAATTCCCGTTTAATGACAACAGTGGCAGCAGTGGTGCTAAAACTTGTACACTCACAGAAGCCTCAGCAGTAACAGATTTCAAACAAATTTATTCATTAATTTAAACAAAACTGTTGAATTTCTTGCAGAGATTTTCAACTAAATGAATTTGATGTTGTAAATATGGTTTATGAAGCTTCTGTGCTTTCTTTTAAAGTATTTCTGATTTCATTTCTGATTTCAAAGAAGCTACAATAGTACTATTAAGGTAGTACCATGGGCTCTTGTAGGATTATTAGAAGCTTGTTTCCTGTGGAACAAACCAGGCTGCCCAGATTCAGATGAGAAAACAACCCACTACTGGGCACTGCTTAGGGATTACAGAAATAAGACATGTTGCTTATTTTGATTGTATCAACTGGCCAAGAAAGTTTCGTGTGGTTTGTCATTTTCCCTTTGTCCACCCCATGTTCTAGAGAGAAACTATATGGTCTAATGAAAAAACTGGGGTAGAACACCTGCTAAATTTGTAAGATTTTTATTGTTGTTCATGCACAGCCTGAGAATGATGGAATTTAATATAACTAAGTGTACAGTCCTGTTGATCATGCTGTCAATGCCTATAATGCCCTGAACTTGCATACATATAAGCATTCTGTTGTGAAAGCAGAATAGCAGCAACCACAAACTTTGTCCCTCTGTTCCTCCCACCCTGCATTTTAGTTAGATAGACATTTTCAGCAGTCTGAGGCACTTCAGAAGTGAGAGGAAAGGAAGCTGCAGAGAATGCAAGATACCTCATATACTGGCCTGTGAAGATTTCTCCTTCCCTTGTCCCCCAGAGCACCCCTTTACCTCTTCTTTTTAAGTTTGTTTTCTTACCTGAGGGGCAGCTACATGCTTCTATCCTTGATTTTGGATGGGGGCAAGGAGGCAGGTCAGTGCATGGATTCCCAGCAACAAGATAAGAGTTCTGTCTCCAGTCTCAGAAATGGGAATTCTAAGTATCCTATAGACCCCCCCAGACAAACACCTAGGGGTCATAGGATCATACCCTCCATTAAATTAAAAACTACATTTCTATACCTTGGAAGCTACTGAGGTTTACAATGCTATACAGGCAATAATTTACCTAGCAATTTCAGTAATCAGGTTAGTTTGAACAATTCTGTGGGCCACACTAATTTGAAAATGCGTAAGTTTTCTTTGTAGACTCTGGTGTTGGAAGCTTTGGCTAAAGTGGTATGTGGTGTCTAGATTGCAAAAATAGCATAAACATGTTCAGGGTGTTGAATATATTTTCCACTTTCATCTAGGGATCGAGGGGAAAAGCGTATGAGTGCTTTCGAATGTGTACGCAAAGTCTATCAGTCAGATGGAATTAAAGGCTTTTATCGGGGAATGTCTGCATCCTACGCAGGCATATCAGAAACTGTTATTCACTTCGTAATTTATGAGAGTATTAAAAGAAGACTTTTGGAATATAAATCTGCTTCTGCTATGGATGAGGAAGATGAATCTGTCAAAGAAGCATCTGACTTTGTTGGCATGATGATGGCTGCAGCCACTTCCAAAACATGTGCCACATCTCTAGCCTATCCACATGGTAAGGGCATCTTGAATCAAATCTTTTTAAAACTGCAGTGAGTATCTAATTCCATCAGGGGCAAATAGTGTAGTCCTATGCTGGGGGTGTTTGGGTTTAAAAATGAGAACTGTTCGGGTCCAGTCCCTTATTAATTTATAGTATTTAGGGACCAAATTAAAACAATGCCTAATTTGACCCCTTAAGGCAAGGACTGTTAAAAATAAAAGGGGCGTTTCAGTTAAGGGAGCCTAGTGATTCTGTGAGCTGGAGTTGCATCTTCTGGACGTTTCACAAGGGTGCACAGGGCTGTTAAGCTGCTTTTGTTTATCCAGTTTTCACTTTGAGAATTGTGTTTAGGCTTTAATGTTTTGTTTTTTGTACTGTTTTGTTGCTGCTTTACTGCCTTTAATATTTTGGGAACCATTCTTGTTTGAAAATGTGGCTCACAATGCTTAAAAATAGTAAGCAAGTGTCTTAATTTTATTAAGAAATAGCAAATGTTTTAAATATTCAACTTGCCCACTTCTTAAACTGACTTTTTCAATGTCTTAAATTTACCTTACTAGTCATGTATTTGCAAGGTTATCTTCTATGAACATTTATTTTTACTTCATTTATGCAGAGGTTGTACGAACAAGGCTACGAGAAGAAGGAACGAAGTACAGGTCTTTTTTTCAGACACTATCTTTGCTTGTACGAGAAGAAGGCTACGGCTCTCTGTATCGTGGGCTAACAACACACTTGATTAGACAGATACCAAACACAGCTATAATGATGTCTACATATGAAGTGGTAGTCTACTTACTCAATGGATAGCAGTACTGCCAGCTCTGTTTAGGAAGTTGGAAGACCAAAAGCTTGCAGTGGACCATGAACTCTGTTGTGGAAGGCAGGAGAAAAATCTATCCAGAATATGCAGCTGTGGACATAACAGAAGACAGACAAAGAGGCAATCATGCTTAATCGTGCTGCCTTGTCATATGGCATCTTCTGCAGTGTGATAATCTGAAGCTGCTCCTAAGGGATTGCCTTTAAATGCCTCGTATTTCAATTGCAATTTTCTCCTATTGTGTCAACTTTTCAAATGCTATGCAGTGAGTATCAGGGACTTGGTTGTGAGCAGGGAGGGTCATAACGTGTGTTCCTATACATCTTTTTTTTTCCAACTCTTGTTCATTGCTGCTTTCACATTCATTTTCTGTCACTGCAAAGTAGCCAGTTGGAAGGGTATAACTGAGTCCGTTTAAAGCAGATCCATAATTGCTAATACCTGGAACTCCCATTTTGCAATTTGAAATAAAGTGAAAGATGATGATTCACATGAAGCTTCCCAGATTACTACCTCAAGGGGTCTGACAGAGAAACCCAGGTTTTTCACTAGAGCTAAGGTGGCCTTTATTTATGGAGATGTGGAGGACAGGTGGAGATAAATTATATGACATTCTGATTTTTTAAATATCAGACCTAGGACTCCTAGTACTGCAGCAGTATATTATTTTTCTTGCTCTAATTATTTTCTGTACTGAAAACAAAAAAAAGAGCCTTAAGAAGGTCCATCTGAACTGAAATACTCCCCTTTGGGGCCATGTACAATTTTGGGGATGTAAAACACCTCTGACTGTGTTAAGGGTCATGGCCTTGTTGGATAGGGCAACTCTTCCTGCTAGCAAAGTGAACTGAATGTTGTAGAGTATGTTGCTTTGAAATCCATGAAAGCCAACAAATAAATGTAAGGCTTGGATAGCAATTGTTCAGAATTCACCAGTATGCTAGCTTTGAACAAGCTTTATTCATCTATGCTTGTTCCTGGATTAACCTCAGACCTGCATTAGATTTCAATAACATGCAGGCTGTACTTTTTCATGTGAAAATCAAGAGCTAATATTGTGGTTTGGTATTAGATGAGAGATGATAACTGAATGCCTTGGGTTTTAAGCATCCCGGTTTGCTTTATTCTTTGCTTCATCCTGAAGCACTTTGTGGAAGACCATGTAAGTGAAAGTTCCAAGCTTATTTCAGAATGTTTGACCTTGTGAATCTATTTTAAAACTTCATTTATGTTCTCTTACATTTTAAGAGCAGGTTTTTGCTTACTCATAGTAGCTACACTGTTATCTTTTCCCTCTTTAAATGTCTAAGTATTACAAATATTCTATTTTAGTGTTCTAACAGTCATAAAATCATGCATTTTATCTTAACATCTGTCCTGTAACTGCAGTGCATTAGCTGCTTTAAACAAACTTCCATCCTAATTTGGCTGTAGTTTTCTAATTGAATATTACTTCACTGGTATAACTGGTAATGACTCCAGGGGGAAAGATTGTGAATTTATTAGTGCACATTTAGTGAAATGGCTAATATCCTAAAAATATGGTTATCTTGCATATCTATAATTTTATCAGCTTGTAAAACTTTCCCCTATGCAGACCTCTGTCACAGTCAAGTACTTTTAATGGCATGCTTTTATGCATTCTTACTCAGGAGCAAGCCTTGCTGAGTTCAGTATGGCTTACTCCTTAGGTTAGTGTGTATAGGGTTGCAGCATAAAGCCCACTGATGTCAATTATGCTGAAATCTTGCGCCCTGAAACCAGTGGGACTTAGCACTTCATTCCAGTATGTGTATGCTCCATTTTGTCATAGAAGATTTAATTCATTTGTGAGCTTTGCAGAAAATAGAATTGCTAGGCTATTTGGAAATAATGCTGGGATGTCTAATGTACATACAATTAGAAAAGCTATTTCTTCCTGGTCTTCTGTGCCCTTCATTCTGTGGCAGAAATCTCAGTACAGACTAGAAACCTTTAGGATGATGATAGTGCTCAGAACTACTGTTTGTTAAGGCCACTTTTCAAGCGCAGTGACTACATGCTAATTTTTTTTCTGCAGGGAGCAGACAATATGACTAACTTTCCTTAAAGTTATAGGGGATCTCATTATAGCCATTATATGCTTATAACTGAAAATTTGGCAGATGTAATCACATTAGTTGAAAATGGAAACCTATTTAAACTATTCCTCCAATAACTTCTCTAAGGTAGCTCCTTCCTTCCTTCTAAATACTTACAGCACATATTTCATTGCTGGTAACAATAGCCCAGTTGGCACATAGGGTTACATCCTGGGTTGTGAATGAGCCAGTTCATGCTGCTTGGTAGCATACCCACTGCCAGGAACATTCCTTATCTGGGTTGCTTAGCATGATATTTGAACCCAAAATGCTGAATAGTGTTCCCCGGTAATCCAGAGCTGGAAAACAATTTTGGATTCAAACATCATACTTAACAATCCCAGGAACAATTAAAGGCTGAACAGCCTAGCATTACCCTGTTCATCCATTTTCTCTGTCAGGAAAGCCCAGGCAGGAGCAAACAGGAAGTATGAAATAGCATGCAGGCTGGGCTGTTGGGCAAGAAATGCCAGCTGACTCCCAAGACAATATAAAGGTTTTGTTTAGTTTTTTCTGGCTTATACACTCAGGTGGATTCAGACAACCGACCTTTTTTCTTTCCCATTTTGCAAATATTGTGAAATCAGTGTGGTGGGATTCCAGTGGAAATGAATTGTCTGGAGGGATTAGACACTAGATTTTAAGTTGGCCTAGAATGGGTTTATTAAAATTGTGATGGCTGGTACATTTATCACCACTTTTGTCACATTTATCACCACTTTTGTCACATTTATCACCACTTCCAGAAATGGGTTCTAGGAGTAACTCTTTGCACATAAACTTTTTAACTGTAAGCATTCGTACAAATCAGCTGCATGAATTCACACTTTCCATTTTATTCCATAGTAAATGAAACAAGATGTGGCTTGAGTTAAATGGAAATGTTCTATTTTGATTTCACTTAGGAGATCTTTAGGGGATGAATGTTTGGCATTAAATTACAAAGCTGGGAGAACAATGTGTGATGAGACCTCCTGAACCTTTCTGCTGTCACCATTGTGTTTCACTTATGCTGTGCTACCAACAGAAGTTAAATTAGAATCCCTAAGAAATCTGCTAGTCTTACTGAAGTCAGAAGTTGATGACTTTTGGGTTAGCTGCCTTAAGGAGCCATCCTAACCTCTGAGAGAAGCTGAAGGGCTTACATCAGATGATATAAGTGTAGCTTTTGTCAGGGGAGGCAGGGAAATGCTGACAAGATAATACCTGAACTGGCAGAAAGGTCCCAGCAATGACCTGGAAGGAAATGTGGTGGATGTGGAGGTGCTCAGTTGCTCCCCTGACACGCCCACATAGCAGTGGGATTCTGTGGCATCTCTCATAATTACCTCCATTGACTGCAGTGGGAGGCTTGAAGAAAAAGCTGCCTCTTGCTTCATGTGCTGTCCATGGAGAAAGAGCAGGCCATGGATATAGTGATGCCCTTCAGCAGATACGGCCTTCCCTTCCCTGTTACATGTTTGAAGTAAGTGATGGTTCTGCCTTGTCCAGAGCATGCAGAGCCCGGTGTGTTCAGCTAGAGATAGGTGAATAGTTTTCCCTTACTAGTATTTTACTGTGGCTTTTCAATCTTCATGTCAGGTAAATATTTCTGTATAGTTATTAACCAATTATATATTTTTAAAATTACCTCTGAACAATTTCCCAAAGAGACTGAGCATTAGCTTTCCTTGCATATTATACAAGGAAATTGTTGAAATACTATCTCAGTGCAAGGAGAATTTCTTCCTCATCTATGATTTGGCTATGTTCTAAATACATATCCTCACAGATCTTTGACAAATGAACATCTAAGGATTACTTCATATACTCAGTTTGAACAGTTAACTGAAACCTTGCTATATTCTGCTTGTAATGGTGGCTAAGTTTAAATAATAAGATGTATACCATAAGCTAGACCAGAAGATGGCACTGTAGTGCGTGTCAATGCAGGAAAGATCATCTTGAAAATGCCTGGTGTGTCAATCTGTTTCCTTAAGTATTTTGCATTTATCACTTGGTTTAGTGTCATAGATATTACGGGAACAAGCCATAGAAAGTTCCCTTTGAAAAGTATGTTATATTTTCTAAATTTTACCCGCTTTATTCAAAAGTCCAGACACAAACACCATTAAGCCAAGGAATAAACATGCCTTTTCCATGTATGTAATTGAAAGTTCTACTTCAGAGTGAACTGTGATTTCTTGAAAATCAACACAAACAACTTTTGTACTTGGAAACACACAGGGGATTTCGGTTTTCAACAATGAACTGTTAAAATATGAATTTTGTCATGTTAGGGCACTGATACAAAATACTGTTTGCAGCAACTCTTAATGACTTTGTTCTCACCATAATTCCAGTCTAGAATATAGGTTGAATTGTGGGTTGTTTAATTGGGGGTTCTCATGATATGCAAACCTTACACTCTTGTTTAACAATGGATTGTTAATAACAAACAACCTAGAGTTTATATCCCACTAACACTGGAAAATCTTCCTGGGTATTCATGGTTAACAACCCATTATTAAACCCTAATGAAATGTTCACACATAACAAGCCATGATTCAACAACCTACTTTCAACCCATACTCTGGGTTGTTACATGTGAACCAGGCCTTTTTTCCATAAAGAGATTTTTTAAAAGATTATATCAGAGGCTGGGCTCCATAGAATTGCATTAGAAGTATCTAGTGGGATAGTGGGACCTTACTTTGAAAAGCAGGCTGCTACACCCCATTGCAAGACACTTGTGAGATTGTTCTTAATATTAAAAGCAGTTCCCATGCGGCATAGGGAACTGCTTTTCAAGAAACACAAAATTGGACTGTTCTTGGGCATGTGGACATTAGCTATGTATGTTTCAGAATCCCAACCCAATATTAGAATCTGATTTTTTCTATGCTTTTTCTTACGTCCAAGATCGTGTTTCTACTCTGTTTTTCTAACTGTTCCTCCAAATAGGTGCAGGAGTGAGGCCTAGTTTCTTCTTAATTTCTAGGAGCAAGCAGAGCATTGATGTGTGGGTATACAGAAGTACCACTAACAAATATTTGTTAGTCCAAAGCCCTGAAGTTGTATACAATTCCAGTTTTATTTCAGAAAGTCTGCATACTCTGTACATGTGAACATACTTTGCCCTAGGAGTCATTATTATTGTTCACCAAGTCCGGTATCTTACTGCTCCTGTGAAGTTTGCTGTAGTTCTTGCATACCATGTAGTTGGCTGTCAATGATGTGCTTTAAATACTTTTTGTATTTATATTATATTGACAACTTTTGTTTGGACTGCTCAAACTTCAAAATAAAACGACTTTATTCAGACCTCTTAGAGTTGCATTTTTTACTTTTATGTTCAAGCCTGTAGTCGTATGTCTAAGGATATGAAAAGGAAAATAAGTTTAGACTTAGTTTTTACAATACACAGAAGACTCCATAGGCTATACATTTTCTAATCTGTACATTTTTCTTCCACCTGCTTTGCATGTTCATAAAAGGATGTATTTCACATGGACTGTCTTCCACTAATGGTTCTGCAGATTTTGCATGCTGTGTTCTAGTGGACAAATACACATGTCACAGCACAAATACACAGTAACTCAGTGGTTACTATGGTTTATGGTGTTTCCCCCCATGATATTGACAATCAAGTGCTTTCTACATTATTGTGGTTTCCATTATGTCCACTCAGTTCTCCCATTGTTGGCATGAATCCCATCAGCCAGTGTGCCTGCAGTTCAATCCCAATTTCCATCACTTCTCACATACATGAACTTCCTCTTCCTGAATGGTCTGCACAGTTCTCTGGGTGTATCCTCTGTAACCCCACTTCCTTCTCCCCCTCCCATGACCCTCAACCAAAGCTGCCTGTTAATAAATGGATCTGTCCAGAGTAACCATCTTTTTTTTGCTATAATACTTTACATAGAGCATCTTTTTGTATGCCCCCTCCTGTCTGCCCCCATCCTTTGTTGAAGATCTACTTGAGACAGGACCTGTAAACATTTCCAATAGGTGCTTTTCTCCATGCATTCCTGCAGACTTGTGTGGCAGGCTTTGCCTTCTGTGTCCCCCTCCCTCTCATGCCTGTACCTGTGCTCGCTTGTTTCACACACGATCCCTGTATAATATTACCCCATATTCATGATTAGGCAGGGACGCTTGTCTTGCTGTCAGCATACCTGGCACCCCTTCTCCGTGCTCTGCTCCAGTGCCCTTCATCCTACACATCCCACTTTTCCATTCCCCCTTTCCTCTATCATGTGGTTGCATCTGTTCCAAAATGCTTACGAAGTACCTATGTCTCCCATCTGTCCTGCTTGAAACTGGATGTGCGCCCCTTCCCTTCTTTCTGCTGCATTTTTGACCCCAAACAAGCTCTAGATGTTCATTCTTCCACCCTCATGCCTATCTTGATATGGGAATCTGCCTGCCTCATGCTGTCCCTGCTTTGAACTTTTCCAGCAACTCCCTCCTTTTTCCCACCAGCCCACAGTCCAGCTTTCTGACTCTGCTCTTTCTCATGTTGCTTCTCATCCCTTCCAGTCAGCATCAAGAACAGACCTCTGCTAGTGTTTGAAAACCAGTTTGTACAGGATGATCATGAGATACTTTTTCAGTTCAAACACCTCATTAATGTGTTTTATGGTTGGATGTCTGGCCTGATTTTAGAAGTATGTTGTCAAAGGTGGCCCTGGACATGCAGAAAGTAGAGCAAAATTGAGCATTGTCTGAAGCATCACATCCAGCAGGGAAATTCACACTGCCACCTCATTAGGAAGGGTCCAGCACTGAAGCACACATCTGTCCACAGCTGGCCCTTAGCCACCAAAGAATTGGCCGTGGTATTTCTTTCCCAGTCCAGACCTGCAGACATCAACTTCATTAACTGTCTGCAGAATTGATGAGCCCCAGCCAATGCCTCATTTCCCCACAGAGGCAGTTTGTGAAATGGGCAGCAGATTCAGAGCATCTGGCCAGAAAAACACCTTTCTCCACATGCTGGCTCCTTATCACAGAAATGCATCTCTGAAATGGCATGCAGTGTAATGGCAAGCATGTCTTGATGTGAGTTGGCAGCCACCATTCACAACTCCTTTCCTTTCTCCTCAAGTCTTGCACTGCTGCTGCTACACCCAGGCATGTGTGGAGGAAGGACTAGGGGAAGTGGTGTGGCTGAGGGGTAAAATGCAGAAGTTTCCCAGGTGTCTCATACACATAAGGGGAGTGAAGCATGTTGTCACAGATGCAGGAATAGGCAGATGCAAACTAGATGAGAAGCACCAGACCCCACCACATAGGCAAAGCATTTCACATTATGCTAGCACATGTTAAACAGTGAGTGTGCCATTCCTCGAAGTAGCAGGAGACATGCATGATGGGGCCAGTGCTGTCTCCAGATCAAGAAGAACTCCACCCTGCTCAGGAAACAGTAAAGAGATCACAGCCAACAGGCAAAGACAGCACTTTAAATGTGGGGGAAAATATCATTTGTATTTTACAGTTTGGGAAGAAGGCTGAGAGAAAGAATGGATTGGCCTGAAGCCTTGTTTTTAAGTCCTGAATCCAATGAGCTGAGCTGCTGTGATGTAAATGCACCTTTTGTTCTACTTTTGAATCAAACATGGTATTACAATGGGTCTTGAAGTTACTTGCTTCTTAGTGTAGGTCAAACTGCTGAGAAAGGATAAAGCCCATAGACATGTCAATTTAATTTCTCTTCCTGCTCTGTGTTTTGTCTTAAACAACTCACTTACACAACAGCTCTATTGTGCAGCCGTGCGGTTCTGGTGGTATACAGAAGGTCCCTGCTGTTTAGCAAGAAGGCTCTATCAAACTACAACCAAAGGGAAGAAGGGTCGTAGCAAGGGTAAAGTGTTAGTGAAATCTAAAGCTTTTGATACAAGTGATTATGTTTGTCCAAAATTACCCTTTCCTCTGGTAGAGCCCTTTGGAGATAAACCTGGAAAAACAAGAAGAATTTGTATTTTAATTATTTAATCAATTTCTTTGTCACCTTTCAAGACAAAGTCTTCCCAAGGAACATGCAGGATTAAAAAATGCTAACATATTGATTGTATGCAACATGCACCACTTTAAATAAAACCAGATTCAATTCAGTGCAATACAAAATATCCATTTGAAGCAAATAAGTTCTTAATTAAAAACCAAGGAGAACAGCTGTTTTTTTTTAACTGTGTTCTAAAACATTTAGAGGGCACATCATAGGTTTAAAATAACCAGTGGTATGGTGGACAAGAGCCTTATTCCAGCCTTTTCAGGTTAGCTCGACCAACCCATGCTCTGGACGGTGGGAAAATGGTGAAATATCCCCAACCCCATTGCTGCTCTTCCAATAAAAATCAGCCATGCCTGGAGCTGCTTTAAAAATAACCTGCCTACCATCTCCAAGTAGGACGGTTGAGAAGACATTCTGAGAATTGAAACAGAGGAAAAAAAGGTATTTGTACTAAAGAAAAAGAGATGTGTCAGATTAAAGAGTTGTGAGGAGAGTAGCAATGAGGGTAGAAATGTGAGAAGGGCAGAGCTGTGGCACAGGGACAGTAGAAGAAAGCTTTGTATACAAGTAAGCGCAAGTTCAAGTTGAGGTCCTAGCCATCCCCTGCAAAATGCAAAATGCTCGAATGGTCTCAAATGGCCTAGGTGGTATTCAGCGATATTCATAAGGAAGCAGAGTAGGCCTACTCTCCTATTTGCATCCTCCATGCAACCTGTCTGCAAAGAATCTTACTAGAGTAATCGGGATTATGCTTTCAGGGTTCAATTTTCATGGAGAAGAAGTGCATCTGTGACTTCAATAGATACCTTAATATTGTTGGCAAACTGCCTCAGCCTATTTTCTATAGCCTATCCTATAAAATCTTTTACAGGGAATTTTAGATCCATGGGACTTAATTTCTATTTTGGAACCTGGCTTATTTTCCCTCCTTCTTGTCCAATTTACAAGCTATTTGATTCTTAGCTAAACACAGCTTTGCATTAGTCCACTTTCCTGAAGGGACTTACTTTGATGGATGTTCAAGTAAAATATAATTATTATTATTTTTAACTTTCATCATCCAGTAAGGGCAGTTGCATGGGTTTTGTTCCCATGGAAGTAAATTTTCATGACAATTTTACTCAGCTGTTTTCTCAGGTATTGGCATAAACCACAAATTCAACCATTCCCTGAGGTCTTTCTCTTCCAAGCTTCTAAAAAACTGTGTAATAATAAAATGTTGTAAGGGATTTATTTCCTAGTAGAAACGCTTCCAAGCCTTTTCAGTGATCGAATGACTCACAACTTGCTTAGGGGATTTCCAGTCAGATAGACACTGGATATGCTTGAAGGCTTGGGAATATGGCTTAAATTGCTCACAACAAAAATGATCTATTATGGTTAGTGAGGAGGTTAGAAAGGCTGAAAGATGACAACCATCTAGTTATACTGTAAGGGTGGTCAAAAATCTTGAATGTTTTCCAGGGAATGGATTAAAAGTTTAAGTGCCATTTTTGGCAATAACAAAATATTGGACATGTGTAAAAATATTGAACTTTTAACTTGAAAAAGGAAAATAATGATTCAATGGACAAGCTTATACATTTGGAGAATACAGAGTATGATTTTCCCCTCTGATTATGACAGATCAGTTGCTGTAGAAATAGCATGTAAAGCCAAGGTAGATAGATTCTTTTTGTGTTGAGAGCCACATTCTCCTGTGAGTAGTCTATCGGGCGCACACTTCAAAGCTGAGGTCTAATGCAATCAGGTTACCTCTTTTCCCTTTCTTTTCATTTATTTCTCCCTCATTCTTCGTTCCTTCCCACTGGGCTTCCAGGAAAAGACAGATTGATCTTGCTGGAGGTTTGAACCGGCTGCATGCAGACTGATTTGAAATTAGGCCAGTGGCTGCATGAAAGTTGGTGGACACTGCAGGTCGCACACCCCTGACATAAATCCCAGTTCTAGAATACTGGGTATCAGCATGTGCCACCATAGTCAAGTCAATGACTGAATCCTGCAGCAGGTAGTGAATGCCCTTATTCACTGTATGGGCTGCTACATGAAGTTGTTACCATGTACATTAACCACATGATGTCATCACTTGATTAGAATAAGAGTTTCCAGGCTTTGGGGGCTCATAAGCACATTTGGCATTTTGAGAAACTGCCCTGGGTACCACCACAAGCAAAGTGCTGCAGAGGAATGGGACAGGAGGCAAACACAACAATCTTGCAAGTTCCCCCTTATCCGTGCGCACATTAATGTGCATCGTGCGCATGTGTTACCCACTCTGGCTCTTCGCTTTCTCAGTTACACTCTG